AAAAAAAAAAAAATACCAACCAGTTCTGTGCTATTCTTGAGAATTTAGCATATTATCTTCAGATTTGTTACCAACAGTGCATTTTAAAATAGGTTCCTTAGTTTTCTAGTATCGTGTCTGGGGCAGTTGTTATTTGCCATCAGTTGTCTTGCTTTTCAGGATTCTATGAGCTTAATTCAAATAGCTTTCACTACAACTATTTAAAGCAATTAATGAGTAAGGTTAATAGTTATATCTTGTATGCATTCGTATCCTGTTCTTTCATCACTCAGACTACTATCAGATACTCAGATAGAACAGTAAAGAATATGGTAAACTCGGCTAGCAAAGTCACACTGTAAAATGCTTTCATTGGTCTCAGATGAATTCACAGTCTGCAGTTGCAAATGACATGTCACCGTTTGCTTGTGCTGTTAGCTTTGAAGCCAGAATTGGCCAAAGGAAGGAAGTACTTGATCACGGGAGATATTTGAAGTTTTTTTTAGGAGCTCCCAATTAGCAAAGTGACATCCAGAAACACGTAGCCTTCTTGGCCCGCTAGCTTGTGTCTTTTCTCTCGCTCCATCTCTTGTGTAAGTAGCGCTTTGAAAGTAAGATGACCAAGACAGTAAACATAGACATTCTTCATGAAATTCAAGTGGCAAATGTTTCGGTACAGCTTCCAACATGATGTTCTGGTGAAAGTTGTAACAGCATCCCCTTTATTAATGACTAATTTCAGGGCTTTATATGTTTGTTCCGAGATAAAAAGCAACGTGTATTCTTGGAAAGGCGTGTGTGTCTGTCTGTGTGTGTGTGTGTGTGTGTGGGAGGGGGTGTGCATATAGGTGTGTGCTTGCTGTTTGGGTATATAGGCATACATATAGATTGGGGGATTTTTTTTTTAATAGCAAAAAATTTTTGTCTCCATATGTATGTGCCGGTGCTCCTAAAACTTTAACGTGTAAATTTAATTTGATTTTCATGACAATGTCTGTGAAAACTTTATATGAATATTAAAAAAAATACAAACAAATCCTTGCTTTCTGATCTTGAAAGAAAAGACATGAAGATGTGTGCCCACCAGCTTCTTGTCATCTACAACTTCATAAGGACTTTTAATATGCCATTAGCATGCTTGCATGCATCCATGCATTAAAGGGTTCCTAATGCATACTGACAGGATCAAGATGCAGAGGCTTCAAAGAAAGCGTTTTAGTTTATCCTGTCAATAAAGTATGGATTGAGGAATCTTAAGTAGACACTTAGAGGAGGAACCGGAAAGCGCCATCCATGATCTGGGGATAATAGGTCATGGGCGTGAGGCCTTTTATTCAATGCAGTAATGCTTTGAAGATGTTTCAAGGTTTCTGCAGACTCGTCAAAGCTTACTGTAGCGTATTGGCTGTTTCATACTCTTCTGCTGAAAGGTATAAAGTTCAACTTAAAAAAATCATTTAAATGTCTGTGGCTATTTGGAGATTCTAATTGTAAGTGATAGTAACAAAGCCTTGGTTAAGGCTAATGTCTTTTCCTTAACTAAAGTCATCGTGCCTATATTATACAGTGTATACTATTTTGCACCTGTCTCTCTCATTAGTTCTACGAGAACCTTTTATGATAATGTAGTTAAGCATAAGTTTTGAGTTGAGTACAACAGATAAAATACTGTATCTCTGTTTTGTTGGCTTCAACTATAATCTTGATGTTAGTTTAACCCCTTACGGAATGATTTATTTGTCAGTACAGTATTTTCAGTCGAATTTGATTCCAATCTAGGAAATCCAAGAAGTGCTCATTTCTAATGTGGGCTGACACATCCCAGGCTTCTTGGCACTGGGTCATGCACTTGGAATCTGTTAGCTGGTAGCAGAGCAAATTAGATCATATGAAATCCGTCAAGGGGTTGAGATAATGTATTCCGTCCATGTAATAGAAATCAAGTTTTAAATTATTTTTTTATGAAATCAATAAAGACAATTCAATTCTTTTAAAGGAAATCTTTGTGTAATTTTATGAGAAAGCAGCTATTAAAATACCGTGATTCAAGTCTACAAGGCAATTTCTAGTCTACATTTGCTTTCCCATTCTGAAGAATAAACTGAGTAAATATATGAATTAGAAGATCATTTAAGTTCAGCTTTCTTTTGTGGCTTTTCAAAGATATTTAATTTCTTTAAGCCATAAGGATGCATAAATTATGCAGGGTATGGCCTCATGAGTGATGTTAACAGGTATTGCAGAAATTACAGGACACATCTAGAAATGTATGGCAGTAAGATTAATCTATAATATCTTTTGCATGATTTGTACATTGACATTGTATGAAATGAGCACAGTGAGTTATTTTATTTTATTTTATTTTATTTTATTTTTTGCTATTGTTGTTGCATCCAAAGAGCGGGGGAGAAAATATATTAAGAATGTATTTATAATCGCTATTTTGAAATAAAGTAAAGAAAACACATTGTATTGTTTTTACCCTGATTTGATTATTAGTATTTTAGGTTAATTTATAAGACAAAAAATCAAATAATGCTATAAAAGCTAATGTAAATCACAGAAAATAATTGTTTTAATGGCTTTTGTTGGCTTTTAATAACATCAAGGTATCAGAGAGAATTTATTAAATGCCATTTTTATGAAAGTATTAATAAACTTGTTTGCTACAATGGTATTCCTGAAGCCACAGTTTGTAAAATATATTTATCTTTCCATTATTTTTCAGAAGCAATCAAGCAGTAACCAAACTGATCTTTTCACCTAGATTGAGGGTAAGACAACGAGCTTTAGAATACTGTCTGTATTCAATTTAATTGCTAAATCTGTGTTAGGAGGCAGTTCCTTTTCAGACATTTTTGCAATCTGTGTTTCTTTCTGGTGGCAGCCTCTCTGGAGAAGAGTCCAACGAATCAAACATGCTTTGATTCATATCCATTCCAATCAATTAGTTGGAATCTGACATAACTGCAGATAGGCAGATATTAATATTCAGTCTTAACTATCCAAGTAGTTTCAGAAAATCTTCAGCACCTGTATCATCCATGACCACTTTGACCAGTTATAGATTATCTACCCATTTATGAGGTGGATTGTAATTTTAATAAGGATCTTTCAAAGATGACCAAAATCTATCTGTCACTTTACCAGAGTTACTTCAGTTGATAAACAGGGAACCAAATGTGTGATGGTTAATTCAAGGGCAGCAAAGATTATAAACAGGCTATATTGATCTCTGAAGTAGATTTAAGGCATATTTCTTTATGAGAAGAGATTAAAGTGGGAAGGAAACAGAATATATTTTAAGATTGCCGT